GCGAGGCTATTGGCTCCCACTGTGGTCGCTAGTTTGTTTACGGTGAAAGTTGATTTCTTCATTGCTGAATCTATTACACGTTTATCGATTACAGATTCAAAGTAAAATTAGTCTTTTTATAAGACTTTCTTACACAATGAAAAATAAAAATAAAAAAATACAAATCTCTTCAAACAAACGCAACGGGTGTTTATCGCCCGCTGCTTGCGTGTGATCTTAGCCTGTGACGGGGATATTGATATCCGTGGACCACCGTCGATCAGATCTGATTGCTAAAAAATTGGGCAGAGCTTCGTTGATTCGTGAAGGAATCAAGAAACCGTAGCGCTTATCTCGGCAACGGCGAGATAATTGCTCTTCTTAAGATTATCGCAACTGGATAATCTTAAGGAACGGACCCGGGGACTGCAGATCTGACGAGCTCCTCTTCTTTATGCTGATGAGCTCGATCCGATCTCTCCTTCTCCTCTCTGAAATTCGTGCACCTTCAGTCTTCAATCTGTCAGGGCTTCGCCTAATCTCTAAAATTCCAGATCTAGAAAAATGAAGGCCTGAGGCTTCTATTTATAGGCTCGGGGGGTTCGGGTGGTTGAAATAGCACAACGGCCCCATTTTAGGCCTGGAGACACCCCTGGGTGTCTCAACGAGGCCGAGACACCTTGGGGTGTCTCGCTTGTGTCGAGACACCTCAGGGTGTCTCAACTCAGGCTGAGACGTTCCATTTTGTACATTTGCTCGTTTCTGCCGTAACTTCTTCGTCCGAACTCGGATTTGAGTGATTCAAAGTGCGTTGAAAAGCCGGTAAGGAGATCTATAAGCTCCGATAATTAGGTCATTGTGGAATAAACTGGGATACGAGAGGCGTTTCCCCTTTTGTAAGCGACGCGGGGCTCCTGATCAGTTCGTATCCTCGTTATTCTGAAATTCCGTTACTTTACGTAGTTCGTCGATTCACTTCAAGCGTTCATCGACGTCAATGAAGATTCTGTGACTTGCACAGTGACGTTCCTCATCTCCTCCTAGCTCTGAGCTGCTCACGGAGACCTATAGGCAATTTTCGATGCCTACATACATATATTATATGTAAATATATTGTACATACTTATAAATTATAACATGAGAGAGAGAGAGAGTATATAACTGTAATTATATAATATACACAAATAAGTATACCTATAAGTTATAACTACATTATATATATTTATATTGTTATATCTTAGAATCTATACCATGCTAAGAGTGTGTGTGTAATATATTTATAAATTATAACATGAGAGAGAGAACCACATAAATATATATTACTTATTTATAAATACATATTATATAGTTATATATGTATTTGTTACATACTTACATTATGCTTATTTAAGTACAGTTATACAGTTTACTTATATGGTATACTTTAGTTTTATATATACTAGATGCAATATACTTATATATAATTATACGTATGCACTTATATATACTTATATGCTAAGTGTGTGCGTGTAATATATTTATAAATTATAACATGAGAGAGAGAGAACCACATAAATATATATTACTTATTTATAAATACATAGTATATAGTTATATATGTATTTGTTACATACTTACATTATGCTTATTTAAGTATAGTTATACAATTTACTTATATGATATACTTTAGTTTTATATATACTAGATGCAATATACTTATATATAATTATACTTATGCACTTATATATACTTATATAATTGTAATTCTATAATATACACAAATAAGTATACCTATAAGTTATAACTATATTATATATATTTATATTGTTATATCTTAGAATCTATACAATGCTAAGTGTGTGTGTGTAATATATTTATGTGTGTGTACAGGTATATATTATATATACATATGTTATATGTAAATGTATTGTATATATATAATATACTTATAAGTTATAACTTGAGAGAGAGAGAGAGAGAGAGAGAGAGAGAGAATCACATAAATATATATTATATATGTATTATTACATGCTTACATTATGCTTATTTAAGCATAGTTATACAGTTTACTTATATGATATACTTTTATATATACTAGATGCAATATACTTATATATAATTATACTTGTGCTCTTATATATACTTATATAACTATAATTCTATAATATACGCATATAAATATAATTATAACACACACATATACACATTAATGACCATATTATAATATAATATAATTATATATATATATATATATATATATACTGTTATTACAGCTAAAGTAAGTATATACCTATACATTATAAATATAATAAAAATATATAATAGTAATATATATATGACTAATAGTAATAAGAGGACATCAATGATGCCTTCGACCAGGAGAGGGATTTCTTCCACTTCTTTTCTGGTTGAGTATTTTTAGGGAGGGGTTTGTTTGTTTTTTTATTGAGGTTTTTTTTTTTTCTTTTGGGTTTTTTTTTTTTTTGATACTATACACAAATCCCCCACCATAGAAGAGCGAGAATAAAAAGAAGAGAATCACATGGCTCTAAGTATGTGCTAACACCATCATGTGAAGGGAGGCAGCCCCCCCTTTTCAGATACCCATTATCTTCCCTCTCTCTCTAGGCTCCTCTCACTTCTAATATATAAATCATACTAAATATTATATATATAATATATATATAACCTAATAAGATATTTATAATATATAATATATGTAGAAGTGTATATATATAGCAGTATAAATATAATATAATATAATATATATATCTTAAAGAGTATAATATCATAATTATGTTATGACAGTATGTAATATACAGACATATATCATGTCATGATAATACAATATATACCTACATACATACATATCTATGTATTATGTATAATGAATTTATATTTATATATGAAAAGTACTAATAATAATAATATAGCTATATATAATAAGTATATAAGTAATATATACTATGTATCAGTATACTATAGTAGAGTTAATATATAACTATATAATAATCTAGTAATATATTATACATATGTGTAGGCTGTCTAAAAATCACAATAGATAGCTTATCCCCCATCAAACACCGATGATGGAAGTTACAATCTGACGACTTCCAGAAGGTTACAATTTGAAGACTTTCACGTAGATCGTTGAAGGTTACAATCTGACGACCTTCACGACAACCGATGAGAGCTCTAGTTCAACAGTATTCACAATTAATATCGGGAGTTATAATCTGACGACTCTCATATTCTCAAGGAGCCAAGATGAAGATTATAAGACAATGATCTTTGCAACGCTATGACAAAAGAGATTACTTGTTGATAATCTCTCCAAAGCAAAACGCGGAACTCATCACCGCGCTTTAAGACCAAAACGCGGAGGTCCTCCCCGTGTATCCACACCAAAACGCGGAGGTCCTCCCCGTGTGTCAATAGTAAAACGCTGGAGTCAGACACGCGTCACAACATCAAAACGTGAGAGTCGGACCCGCGTCACAACATCAAAACGCGAAGGTCGAACCCACGTTACAACATCAAAACGCTGGAGTCGGACCCACGTTATAACATTAAAACGCTGGGGTCAGACCCGCGTTTTTCAGCACCCAGCGAGTACCCAACTCCGCGTCTCCATTCTAAAACGCAGAGTTAGGGTCCTGAACGCCGACGTGGGCGTTTGACTCGTTCAAACACGAGCTGAACGGTTGCAGGAACCGTTTTCCCTCCACGATTTGAGGGATTTCCGCCCCACTTAGGAGCTGATTAAGGGGGCGGTTACACCCCTTAATTCCTTATAAATATGGGTAAACTCGATTGAGTTCAGGCTGACTTTTTGGATCGGAGAATTGGCAGCGAGGTTGGAGCAGAGGGGACTTGGCTCTCGGTTTGACAGCAGCAGAAGAGATCCTTGGAGCATTTTCTGGAGCTGGGGAGATCTGCAACAAGAGCTTCTTCATCATTGGCTTATCAACCGAACTTTCGGTTCAAATCAACTCTTTTTCAAGAGTTAAAACTCGTTCAGAGTTATCAACTCATCAAGAGTTTCAAGCTTGCCACGCAAGTTCTCCACAACGTCAAATCGTGAGGAGAAGACCATGTTCCAGTGAATCAAGACGTTCAGATCGTCAACGTAGAGCAAACTCGACGCGAGCATTCGAGGGAGATACTTCATCGCCACCGAGAAGAACCCAGTTTTAAACAAAGGGGAGAACCAGATTCGTTCTCTTCTCTTTTGTAATCAAATTGTAACCGGAATCAAAGAAATACAAGTCAAGTTTCTTTTGTTCTCTTCATTGTAATTTTTTCCAACATACAATATGTATATATATATATATGTATGTTATATATATATAGTATATATTATTATATATATATATATATATATATATATATATATATATATATATATATATATATATATATATATATATATATAAATATTATAATTATAAATAATTAAATATATATATATATATATATATATATATATAATATATAATCGCGGGCCCGGGCCGCAGCTTCACCAAGACAGCCCTGTTAGGCTCGGGTTCCGGGCCGGCACGCGGGCCTTTGGTTCGAATGGACAGCCTACACTTAGATCATGACTTAGCACTAATACTTTTGTTGGGGTGGGGGGGGGGGGGGGGGGAAATCGGTCTCAATCGAGTTGAAATCGGGGCTTTAATCAGAGTCTAGGAACCAAGTTTGACCCAAAAACTATACTTACTAGGTATTGGTCTCAAGCTATTTTACGGTCATCACTCTTTATTATCCTATCCGATGTGGACTATACTCATGTATTAATAACCTCAACGCTAACTGCTTTTGAATATTTATTAGAATGTTTGTTATCATATTTGCTGTAGCATAAAATAATTTTGTGATTTGTTTTACTGTTTTGAACTTTGTAAATATTGCTTGGAAAGCTTTCTTGACTTAGGACATGGTTTCTAAGAAATAATCTTACTATGATGATGCACAAGAATGTGCTAGTTTTGGCTTACTTGAACAATTGATTGATGGGTTATATTTTTTTGTAACAGAGTACGGATCTACAGGCAACGTCTCAAAAATGGGCGATGTCTACAGCTTTGGCATTCTGTTGTTGGAGACATTCACCGGGAAAAGGCCAACAGATGTCGTATTTGAGGGAGAACCAAGTTTGAGAGAGTGCATTTGCAAAGCATATCCTACTTCAATTTTTGATATTATAGACAACAATCTCTTCAAAGGTGTCTCCCTCCTTGAACGAACATCTGCAGACCAAACAGCTATGCATCATTGTGTATTATCTGTCATAAGATTGGGTTTACTATGTACAAACTACTCACCAAAAGAAAGAATATCGATGGTTGATGTCGTCCCCAGGATGCAGAAGATAAAAATGGAGTACATGTCCCAGTTATCTACTGCTTGAAGTAGGGTTGATCATATTGGTGCTTTCCTGTTCATTTGTCATCCAGAAAGTTAATTTGTCTTTGTAAGTAAATTATAATTTTCTTCACTCCGAAGAATTGCTAAGACGTTAAATTCGATTTGTTCAGGCATATATGTTGAGTATTTACTTGTTTTCCTATTTGATATCAATGCTAAACTTCACATTACTCTACTGCAACTGTACAGTTGTAAAACTTCGGCAAAGTGTTCAATTAGATGTTTGCCCTCAGAATCCTAAATAAATTAGACTTGAATACAAATTATTATTAATTGTAAGATTTGGACAATTTACTCACTGTAAATTGTGTGAGGGAAATCAAGAACATGAAGTATTGGTAGAATGGTAGTCTTTTAAATGAGCCAAATATGATGCATGCATCAACAAGTCCATGATAATTTTAAAAGCACATCTAGTCATCCCACTAACAAAGATACCTTTGAAACAATGTCTATAAGGTTGATACATATATTATAGCTTATTCTATCAAAAGATGCAGATATTGGATAAAAGACCTGACATGCTCTTCTGTTCTTTACAAACACTGTCCTGTAGAAGTAATACAATAAGGATTCACCTTTGTTGAGGTTATATAATTGCAGCCATAATTTAATGCCCTCACCTTTAATATGGTTAGGTTTTACTTATCTCATGTACTTTTTTTAACAATTAAAGGCTACTTTACTGTCTGAACGTAGAACCTTTCCACAAGCTAAATGATTCATCAGTGTTGTCGTTAATGAGCTAGAGTTTGGCATAATTTTGTTGTTAACACTAAAGACACTTTTGGTCGGTGGAAGTAGAGGCTAAAACCAATAAAACATGTTTTACTGCCGTTAACAAAGCTGAATGGCCTTCATATGAGCCATATGCCTCTCCAATTTTGCTATCAACTCTGAATTCTGATCTCAAGTTCCAAGGTAATCCATGCCAATTTCTTCTGAAATCTTTATGTTTACGGTCTTCAGAGTGACTAAATTCATATTCCTGTATGTGCTGAAACAACACTAAAATCCAATCTGTATTCAGCCACACACAAATAGATAATTACTCTGTAAATGGCAATTGCATACTAAATTTGAGAGAACTCCACTATGTCTAGAGTGTGTTTGGTTTATGTCTTTTCTTCTTTCTTTTTCTATTCTTTTACAGGTTGTCCTCCAAGTAATATTCTTCCTTCACCTCGATTTGTTTGTGTACCTATAGAGCACACCATTGTGAGGTTGTTGTTAGATTAACTCAATCCTCGTCACAACTTTGGAGTTTTAGTATAGTGTCAGGGACCTTTGATATGTATGACTCCAGCCTTTAGTCCCCCATAAAAAGGACGCTCAATCTATAGGGACATGTTAGATATAAAAATCATCCCTAGCTCCTTCTAGCTTCAGAGGTTACAATTGTCCTAATTTTTTATGCCTGTTTTCATTTTAGCCTTTTTCTTTAAATAAACATGTGGCTATAATGAACTTTTTCTCTAAAAAGAAAGTAAAGGCCAAAAATAAAACACTGCTCCCATGTCACCCAATCATATCCTAAGTATCACAGTCTCCTACATCGTCAGAATGCACCAAACAAAACTCATACAATAACTGAAAAAGGCTACACGTTTTATTATTCTTATGATTATAATTTAATTAATTTTTGTGGCTCTATAGTCCTAATAACCAATTTCGGGTCCAAAGAAAATATGTGTTGCATGGTGTGTGATCTCATCCTTGTTGCTCTCTAAATCACAGGCAAAGGATCTCCACTTTCGCCCTCAATCCTAGTGGTAAACTCCAAAAGACACATGCACATCAAATACTTGTATGCATGCTACCATTATTTATCCCCTCAAAACTTATCAGTTTTATTTCCACACTGACTAGGACGAATCTTTTTCTCCCTTCATCCTTGTCCTCTATACATGTGGCAGTCCATTGCCTTGCTCAAAATATGCATTCTTTTTTTGAGAAAACAAAATATGCATTCTTGTGGCCTATAAACTGGTGGTCATCATCATCATTGTTAACAACACCACCAATAACAACATGATCAAGCACTTGGACCTGTGCACAGAGACTCTAGGCTGTGAGAGTGGCGAGATTTTTGGTGCTTTTCAAGACTCAAGAGAAGAGATCAAGTTTAGTGTCATGAAGAAGCGAAAGAGCATTCCGACAAAATTTCCACCACCATTGAAGACCCTTGGTCTCTTTCAACTTGGGAGGAAAAGAGTGGAAGAGAGGCTTATGCTTGTTCCTCTGAAGCCCTCCACTGGAGTACTCACAGCCGAAAGAAGCGAAGGTCACCTTCGCCTTCGTTTGCTGCCGAGTTCTCATTGCAGTATTTGTATTCGTGATGAGCATGGTAATGAAATTGTAGACGAAGAGAATTTGGCAGGAAAATGCAGGAGGGCTAGTAGATGCAAGGAAGAAAAGATGGGGTCCAGGATGGGGAAGATGATAATGCTGAATGCTGATGCTCTATGGGTGGCTAGTTCGTGAAAGTTTTCGTTTGTCTTGGGGTCAAGCTTGCAGATACCCCTCCTGTACTATTGCCAAATTGAACTTACTATGCCAGTAGTTCTTTTGTTGCTTATTAGATTCTCTAATAAGTGAAAATTTTTTGACCCTTCCGAAGTGGTTTATCTACAAACAATAGATTTTCACTCGAGGGGTCTATCTGGAGCAATAGAACTATTTCACGGGCATATTTGCAACTTTAGAACTACATGGATAGTAAGCTCAATTCGGCGATAGTGCACGGGGTCTATGCAAGTAACCCTTTGTCTTTTTAGTAAGGGCTCTAAGCCATTCTTTTCATGGTTAAATGCAGATATTCCTTATGTGCTATAGGATTAGTCTTTTATTTCATCTCTTAACTTTCCTATTAGCATTTTGAACTTCTGTTATCCAAATGAAGTTCTCTCTTTTATCTTGTTGTAGGATATAAATTTGTTCTATATTGCAGAGCAATATGAATATCTTCTTTTATTAGAGGTAAATTTGCTAATTTGAGAACGACATGATTCTCATAGTATGCGGCCGTATATATGATAGGGCCAGCCAGGCCGTAAAATGCCCAATCCAAAGTAGCCTTTTAAGATGGGTCCGCGCCTTGTTGGGCCTAATCAGATTCAAGCTAATGCATCGATTGAGCGGGCCTGTTTGGTTATTTCCTAAAACATCAAGAAATAGAAATGAAAACCAAGAAAACTCAAAAAGTACAATTTTATCCATTTCCATCCCTAAAACTCACCCACAACATCTAATAAAATATTATTTTTATCCAACAACTCATCTATCACATCTAATAAAATATTATTTTTATCAACAACATCTCTCAACTCATCTCATCTCATCATTTCAAATCACTCACATCATCCAATAAGATGGTGACAACTCATCTCATCCACCATATCTAATAAAATATTATTTTCATCCAACAACTCATCTATCACATCCACCACATCTAATAAAATATTATTTTCATCCAACAACTCATCCACCACATCTAATAAAATATTATTTTCATCAACAACATCACTCAACTCATCTCATCATTTCAAATCACTCACATCATCCAATAAGATGGTGACAACTCATCTCATCTCATTAACATTTTATTTCCACTCATTTCCTCTCAAAAAGCTAGGAAAACAATTTCCTTAAGTGTGGGTCACATCATCCAATAATATAATGACAACTCATCTCATCTCATCTATTGTCTTATTTTTAATAATGAACCAACAAAAGAAAACAACATATTACAAGAAATAGGTTTCTTATAATTCATTTCCTTATTTTTTTGGCCAACCAAACAACATCAAAACAAGTTTTCTTAAAAAATCACTCACATCATCCTATAATAAGATGACAACTCATCTCATCCCATCTCCATTTCTTTAATTTCCTTCTTTTTTTTAGCAAACCAAACACTCCCAAAACATTTCTTCTTAGGGGCTGTTTGGTTCGCTATTATAAGGGGTGGAAAACTCAGAAAACTCAGAAAACCCCTCCACGTCAGATTTTTAGCCCTACACGTCAGTTTTTTTTGTTTCCGCTCATTTCTTTGTGCCGCTTTGGTTCGCTCGGATGGAAGAGGGAAAACTCTGCTGAAATCGCCGTCAACTAAGATTTTTTTCCCTCTCCGATTTCCTTCCCCAACGAAGTAAAATTGATGAAAACTCTGCCACGTCAGATTTTTTTCCTTCTCTACTTTGTTTACAAAAGTTTTCTTTTTTTTATGCTAACCAAACACAAGAAAAATAAATACATTGGTTTCCCACCATTTTTTATGTGTGAACTAAAGTAAAACAATCTATTTATTAGAAAAGTTTGGAAAACTCAAAACTTGTGTTTCTTCACATGGAATTGCATTTCTCTATATCAAGAAAACAAACCAAACAGCCCCTTAGAAATAGTTTTTCTTTTCTTTGATTTCCCATTTTTTTAGGCAAACAAACAGACCCTCAGAGCTCAAAAGTCAGCTTACTATTCAATGTCCAGTTGTCAACTAACTAACTTTTCTGCTTCTAATCAAAATTGATGATATTGTATTAAACGGCACTTAGTCTTCGCTAACAAGTGGGACCCACTTTCCATTAACAAAGTGGGCCCAGTATATGAGCATTCAAGTCAAATAAAGAAACTAGCCGTTGTCTAATGAGTGGGGGAAATTAGACAAATGACCGTTAGGGTCTCGCATACGTTACTTCAGTTCAAACCCCATTTGAACTCAATCCTCAACAAAAAGAGACAGAATCTGACAAAAATAGAGAGCTTACAATCTGTAGAGAGAGAGAGAGAGAGAGAGAGAGAGAGAGAAGCTAAGCCAAAATGGTAGCCAAGACTCCATTGAAGGAGAAAAGGCTAGCGATGGCGCTCAACCCCAATCTCGTTCGAGAAACAGTAAACAAGGTAAACATTTTATCCGAATTCTTCTCCTTTATTTTGTTGTTGTTTTTTTTCCCTTCTCAATTTTAGTTTGAAAAAAAAATTGACTTTTGAAGGTTGACAAATGTATGGCTCGATTGCAAGAGCTCCACTTCACAGTCACAGGCGGTTCGAAGCTCGTCAATCTCAGCCCAAGGAGCACCAGAGGTTACCTCAAAACTAGCCTCAGGTGCAAGCAAGAATCTTTAAGATTAAAGAATGCAACACCCAGAAAATCTCCGTCGGGAAAGTTTCAAGGCAATCTAAGTGGCAAGCAACAATTGGGTTTCTTTGATTTTGTTCAAATCTGAGTTTAATTTATGGATATTTGAAATTACTGCAGGAGGGGAATGGCGTCAGATGTCGCTTCAAGCAATGCTACTGGATGAAACAGTAATAGAGATCTTAAAAACTAGCCAATTCGCGAAGGAAATTGTTGCGAAAATACCCAATTCAAAGCCAACGGCATCAAACGATCCCAAAACTCCAGTCCCCATCAAAAGGCAAAGCAGGTGCGAAAACATCGAATTGAGATCGAGAAGATCCAAAGAGAAGCAAAGTCTTCATCATCGGCGACGCTCAGAATTGGCATCGCCTCCTGGTCTAACCCGTGCTAGATCACGTATCCATTTCAAATCAAACTCACCCCTCAACACTAAACCTGTAATTTTAGCCAACAGGGTTTCTCCTAAAAACAGGCCCTGGGCTAAAAAAACAGTCCTCTTCCCAAACCCTCTCTTTTCGTCACCTTCATCTTCGAACCCAAAGAAATTCTATAAGACGAGGTCTCCGATTATTGCCAGAAATACTAGTCAGCAGAAGACTCCGCATAAGTTTTTGATTAAGACGCCGCCAACTTCTTTGAGATCGAAGATGATGAGTAAGAAGCTAGTGCCCACTCCTGTAGTGTTTAGTCCCGTGGAGAAGAAACTGGCATCTGTGAAAAAAACTCGTAGGTGCTCATTTTCGCCTTCGAAGTTGGCGAATAGATTGGTTTCACCTTTGAGAGGAAGGATTTCGACGCAGATGAACAGCAGCAGAGGGTTGATGAGCGGATTGAAGCAGAGGCCAAGTTTTAGTACTCCAGTGAAGAAGGTGCCTTCTATTAAGAGGATGTAACGGTAACTTTACTTTTGTGTGTTTTTGAAATTCTTTTATTTTACATTGTGTTTGTTTATAGGGAAAAATGTGTCCAGGCCCCAAAAACAGAAACTTCATGTGCTGCAGCCCCTCCTAGTTTCCCTCATGTGGTTCAGCCCCTTGAAGTGTGACATTTTGTGCTGCAGCCCCTTTTTAACAATTAATAGATGCCAGCTAAGCTAAAATCCCCAAAATAACCTTATCCCCTCTTCTCAATCCTTCAAACCCAGTTCTCTCTCTCTCTCTCTCTCTCTCTCTCTCTCTCTCCCCCATCTCTTTTTAAAAACAAGGGCTTTCTCAAGCTCGTCGCTCTGGCCCTCGCCCTCCTCGCCGTCGCCACCTCCGCCCAGGCTCCCAAGCCTCCCCCGAGTTCGCCGCCGCCTCCCCTCCTCTCCTCCGCCCGACCTCGTCGCGGTAGCTCGCCGTCGCTCCCCGTCTAGCCCTCGACTACGCCGGAGTTCGCCGCTGCGCCTGCCACTTTTAAATCCTATAGTATGGTAGGCCGGAGGAGGATGACCAAGAGAAAAGAGTGGATGATGCCCAAGAAAAATAAAAATGAAGGGACTGCAGGCACAAGGAAAAATGTCTAATTTATTAATTATTATTCATCAAGTGACCTTAACATTCCAACTTTCATAAATTAGAACTAACGTGGTATAAATTAGATAAAATTAGAACTAATGGTTAAAATTAGAACTAACGTGGTATAAAATAGAACTAACTTGGTATAAAATAGAACTAACATTGTATAAATTAGAGCTAACTTGGTATAAATTAGAACTAATGTGGTATAAAATAGAACTAACGCGGTATAAAATAGAACTAACACTGTGCAGAATAGAACTAACACTGTGCAGATTAGAACTAACACTGTGCAGAATAGAACTAACACGCTACAGAATAGAACTAACAATGTACAGATTAGAACTAACACGCTACAGAATAGAACTAACACTGTAGCATGTTAGAACTAACACGCTACAGATTAGAACTAACACTGTAGCGTGTTAGAACTAACACTGTAGCGTGTTAGAACTAACACTGTAGCGTGTTAGAACTAACACTGTAGCGTGTTAGAACTAACACTGTAGCGTGTTAGAACTAACACTGTAGCGTGTTAATGTCTTAATGTTAACTAGCTCTGTTACGCTCTACACATAATGAAATTTAGTGTTATATATATACACGAAAATGAAGGTCGATACAACAAGAATAATGTTTAGGATGGTTCAGTAGCAATCAGAAAACACTGTAGCATGTTAATGTCTTAATGACTAGCTCTGTTACGCTCTACACATAATGAAATTTAGTGTTATATATATACACGAAAATGAAGGTCGATACAACAAGAATAATGTTTAGGATGGTTCAGTAACAATCAGAAAAAAGGCCTTACTCGTTATTAAGATGCACATAGCCTGTAGCGATTTTATGTCTCGCTTGAATCCCACAGGAGTTTTCGGTTGCTGGCTTGAGCTGGAGGAGCAAGCCCGGGTACATCAGGAATGTCCTTGTTAAGAGGGTTAATGATCTGACATTTAAAGAAGAGATAAGTTAGTTCAACTGCAAAAATAATCCCCAAGAATAACAAGAACGAAACATGTACGCACAATTCAGGCCGATCACTACATGGCCAAGTTATTGCATATAAAAAAAAAGTTTCCGTGTACACAAGTGACTACATCCTTGTCATAAATGGGACTAGTCATGAGATAGAATTTTGGAAAGTGCACAACAGTAACACCAGCAGATCTCACTGAAATAATAGTACATCCTTGAATCATGGCAAATGACGAATGAACTTTCGGCCAAAATGTGCAGGATGCTGGCAATCTCTAATTTAGTTTGAGCAGAAAGAACTACCGGTTTATCAAAAATCAGTAAAGATAATCCACAAGGATAACCTTGCCACTATCCAAGAGTTAAACTCATGATGCTGAAGATTAGAGTTCAAGGTAGAAAGAGTTCAGTTCAATCTTATCTTCGCTACGATGATTGCCAGCTCAAACGTCAAGTTTGAAATAGCAGGCTGTACTGAAAACACGACAAGACACAACAAATACAACAGAAAGAGAAGCCTCAAACGTACAGTGTTAGTTCTAACACGCTACAATGTTAGTTCTAACACGCTACAGTGTTAGGAGAAGCCTCAAACGTACAGTGTTAGTTCTAACACGCTACAATGTTAGTTCTAACACGCTACAGTGTTAGTTCTAACACGCTACAGTGTTAACACGCTACAATGTTAGTTCTAACACGCTACAGTGTTAGTTCTAACACGCTACAGTGTTAGTTCTAATTTGTACATTGTTAGTTCTATTCTGTAGCGTGTTAGTTCTATTCTGCACAGTGTTAGTTCTAATCTGCACAATGTTAGTTCTATTCTGCACAGTGTTAGTTCTATTTTATACCGCGTTAGTTCTATTTTATACCACATTAGTTCTAATTTATACCAAGTTAGCTCTAATTTATACAATGTTAGTTCTATTTTATACCAAGTTAGTTCTATTTTATACCACGTTAGTTCTAATTTTAACCATATTAGTTCTAATTTATAACAAGTTAGTTCTAATTTATAACAAATTAGTTCTAATTTTTCTAATTTATAACAAATTAGTTCTAATTTTAACCACGTTAGTTCTAATTTATACCACATTAGTTCTAATTTATACCAAGTTAGCTCTAATTTATACAATGTTAGTTCTATTTTATACCAAGTTAGTTCTAACACGCTACAGAATAGAACTAACACTGTGCAGATTAGAACTAACACTCTACAGAATAGAACTAACGAGAGAGAGAGAGAGAGAGAGAGAGAGAGAGAGAGAGAGAGCTGGGTTTGAAGGATTGAGAAGAGGGGATAAGGTTATTTTGGGGATTTTAGCTTAGCTGGCATCTATTAATTGTTAAAAAGGGGCTGCAGCACAAAATGTCACACTTCAAGGGGCTAAACCACATGGGAAAAACTAGGAGGGGCTGCAGCACATGAAGTTTCTGTTTTTGGGGCCTGGACACATTTTTCCCTTGTTTATAAGAGGGTATAAGATGAGCGTGCTGTATTAATTGGGTAAATTGTAAGCTCTACAATAACTTTCAGTCATATATAATCAGAACATTTACATATGTTTGTTCGATTTTGTGAATTATTATTGGAGTTACATTATGAATCGTACAAAGTTGAAATTTTTTTAATAACGGTCTTTTTTCTATATATACATTATGAATCGTACCAAGTTTACATTTTTCTAATAACGGTTTTATATATATATATATATATATATAATATATATATATATATTATATATATATATATATATATATATATATATATATATAATATATATTATATATATATATATATATATATAATATATAATATATATATATTATTTAATATATATTATATATTATATATAGTGCATTTCAAGTGCGGATTGGTGCGTACGCATTTGAGGGAGAGAAGGATCTTTTGCAAAATGCCCTCCGCTACACTGTTTCTCATCCTCCGTCATTTATCTAATGGCCTGTTGGATGTGAGGGTAGAGAGGGGAAGGGGAAGGAAAATTTTCATTTTAACCTTGTTTGGGAGTTTCATTTTGGAGGGTAAAGAGGGGAATGGAGAGGGAATTTGGCCCAAAATTCTTACACCCAAATTGGGGTGTAATGGAGGGGAAGGGAAGGAAGGGAAATTTTCCCTTCCTTCCCCTTCCTTCTCCTCCTCCCTAAGTAAACTCCCAAACATACCATAAAAGAAATCTTGTTTCTCTCTCTCTCTCTCTCACTCCATTAAAATCCCCAAACCCATCTCTGTCTCACCCAAAAGCCGATCTCAAAACCCTCACACCTCTCTTCCCTCTCCCGCCGACGCCGACAAAACCCGACGAGCGCAGGCGCTGATCCATTCTCCTCTCTCACTCCGACGGCACACCCGACGAACTGACAGGCAGCCGTCGCACGACCCGCGAGCAGCGCTGATCCCGACAACCACGACGAGCGCAGCGGCCCGCCGACCCGACGACCCGACCGCCGCCGACCCGACAAAGCCCAGACGCTGTAATTTTCTAAAAGCTCAATTCGATTTTAAATATATTCAGTTCAATTCGATTTTTAGGAATTTTTTGGTTTTTGCTGCCGATTTTAAATAATTTCAGCTCAATTCGATTTTTAGGAATTTTTCGGGATGCTGGCATTGATGCAGGAGATGATAAGGGCGGAGGTGAGGAGTTACATGAGCGGGTTGGGGCAGAGCATGAGCGCGGTGCCGGAGAGCGTGAGCAACGCCGTGATGAGGAGGATCGCGATGGGGATCGGGAGGATGGAGGGCTAGGGTTTGCTTGAAGAAAAAAAAAACGCTAGGGTTTCGGAGGTCGAAGAAGAAGATAAAAAGGAGTCTTCTTTTGGTGTTTTATAGAGTGCTGTTCGTTTGTAAAAGTTAGTTAAAATAAGTTCGTTTTGTACAGGAAATTAGAATTTGGGTATTATGAAGAGGCTAAATGGGGGGAAAAGGGAAGAAGAAGAAGAATATGTGTTTCTAATGTTTTGATTGTGTATCATACAGTAGTTTTTTTCCCTTCAAAATATCCTCTCATTATATTTTAGTATCTGTTTTTAACAGAGTTAGTATTCAGTTGTCAAGGAACCATCTTTGATTGATCTCGTGCAATTCATATGAATTTTGATATCTATGTTGTGTTGGAATTCAGTTGTCAATGAGCCATTTTAGCTTGGTGAACACATGCAAGTGAAGGACATGATACATGGCTCTGGAAATGTTGCTAACAGGAAACAACCAATCTATAATGTGGATGATATATAATTTTTTTGAAGCATCTGTTTCATGTTTTGCACTGGGTAAGCGTTCTGAGCAACCAATCTACTGTTAGTGAGAGTGTTTCCCTTTCAAACTGATCTTGTCATTCATGTATATCAATGGAACAAACCAACAACAAATCTTACATAAGCAGTTAGAATCACAGCTACTGATTGAACGACCACAACCAGAAGCAGCAGAAACAACAAATCTTACATAAGCAGTGCCTGAGATTCCAACAACAAACCAACAACAAACAAACCAAGCTCAGCAAACATCACAACCAAGCTCAGCATACATCACAACCAAGCTCAAACCAACAACAAACCAACAACAAATCTTCCCTGCAGTGCCTGAGATTCCCATTTTCCCATTTTAACCAAGGAACATAAACCAAGCTCAGCATACATCACAACCAACAACAAATCTTACATAAGCAACATGTTTAAGGTCACAACCAACAACAAATATTCCTAAGTGCAAATAACTCAAAATAGTCCCCACATTTTGAATTTTCCATCAATAGCTTTTCAACCACTTCTCTCTACCCATAACAGCTTTGGATACTTGAACCATGTACAGTAAATATACACTTTAAGGACAAAACTAAACAAATAAATATGAAACAACCATAGCATGTATGTTTCATTATGATGTGCACAACTTCACAAATATAAAGGGGCTTACCTTATCTCTTGTTAAAACAGATTTATGCACCACTCCTCGGGTTCATTCAAAAAGATTCACATCATCCTCATCTTCACTTGATATCTCATTACCCTCTTGCAAATTCACATCAACGCATGTAGAAGACCTACATTATATTAATAAATATATAAATACATCAAGAGGGATACTAGAATGTGAAAAATAAAAAACAAAAAGAATAGAAGAATTATTACTTACGGATTTGAGTGCCGGACAATTTCGTTTATCATGTGATTGGCCTACTTTTCCACACCCGTGACAACGTCTCTCTCTTTTATTTTTGATTCTAGCCATTGCTTTCTCTTTTCCTCCTTTCAACCTTTTGCCGCACCCCTTTGCTCGCACTTGATTGTGTTCATTAAAACTACTTTGAAAAGTGCAAGAACCATGCGCACTTGTACCATCACCTATTATATTACTACCTATTGAATTACTTTTCTCGGTGAAGCTCATTAGAGCCATGCGGCTACTAAGAAACTGACTTATTTGCTCATTAATGCTTCGCAAACCATCGGTAAACATCGTCCTTGTTTCTTCACATACGAGGGACTTGTCAACTAAATCCAAAGATGATTGGATAAATTGACTTCGCGTTAAAAAATAAGAATTGTCAGAGGTTATCTGCATGCCTTTATTATCAACCACTGTCCCTGATTTTGCAGACTTAGTCCACCTCTTTAAGATGTATTTATCGGGCAATATTTCAGCATCAAACTTCATCAAATATGAGATAATGTGTCTACATGGGATTCCGGCGCTTTCGAATTTTTTACAACTACAATAAACCAAATCCAAGTCCTTGTCATAAACGATTTCGCGGACTTTACTTCCTGCAAGCTTCTTTCTTTGAATTTGATACACACAATGATTGTCAGTTTCCCTAACACATTGCAACTTGTAGTTAAAGCTGTCACACACTTCAGTCTCAAACTTGTAATACATCTCATTCGTGTAAATATCAACCATTTGCTCTAAAAAGTCATGATTTATTCTAAGTTTAGGTTTCTCAATTACATCTTTGTGATCGGTCATCAACTCCTCGTGACGTTGGCGCACTAGTCCCCTACCAAACTGAATCATGAAATCCACCAATGAATTATTCTTCGAAACAAATTTCTTAAAAAATGCATGTCCACTTTCTGCTCGTTGACTACTTGACATGTCAGCTGAGAATACGTGATTAACATATGCTGGAATCCATCTTGACCGAAGTTCATATTGGTCTTGCAACCATTTGTTTCCTTCTAACCCACTCTTCTTAATCAGATTTTCCCATTGTAAATCAAATTCTTCAGGAGTCTCTGATTTCCAAATGCAAGCCGAAAACTCACTCTTATAAATACTATACTTCACTGCATCAATTTTCTCAGAAAACTTCATTAATATATGCCAACTACAATACCTGTCAAAAGAAATTTCAAAAGTGTTAAAAAAAGACAACGTATATAAATATTATGTGGAAGAAAGACAATGTATACAAACTATATTACCTGTGAAATGTATTTGGAAGAACAAGAGGGAATGCCTTAGTCATAGCTGGATCTTGATCGGTAATAATCATCTTCGGGGCACCACCAGGCATACTTGCCAAAAACTGATTAAATAACCATACGAAATCATCAACGCTCTCATGATTTAAAAATCCACAAGCAAAAAGGATTGTCTGACCATGATTGTTAACCGGGTAGTATATCCCTTCGTGACCCTTTAGCGAAGAGGGCTTCAACGACGGGTGACGAAGGGATTTTTCCCCGTCGTTATCATACAATAACGAAGGTTTTCAGCTCTTTAACGAAGGAAAATCCCTTCGTTAAAGATGTAATTTCTTGTAGTGGAGAACTGTTTATTTAAAGACTTTGTTGCGGCTGAAACGTTACGGTGGGACCTTAAAAGATGAACCTTTGATGGTGTTGATAGAGGGTGGCTGTGCTCCTCATTAAAAACAGTAACAATGTATTTTCCGGAGTTTGATTTTAAAACTGCAATTTTGGCATGACAATCCTCTGCTAAGCTTCCTCGACGTCTTTTATTTCCAACATCCGTGATTCTTAAAGATTTTCCTTGTTTAAAACAAACATACTCCTTCCTTCTTATTTCACCACTTTCCGGCTCTTTCTGGCTAGTCCAAGCCCTTACACTAAACCCAGCTGCTTTTGCATAAGCATTATAGAATGTCACAGCATCATCAATTGTGTCAAATTCTTGTCCCTTTTGTGGCCTCAACTCATCTGATACTTGAGGAGTATATATCGAACTATCGTCATTCAAGTTTTCCATTTCAAAAAAAAAATGGTAATTGACCTATATAAAATGCATATAATATCAAATTTCGAACCAAATGTTATCAAATTAATAATTCATATCAAATCTGAAGTTAAATATCATGTTATCAAATTAATAATTCATGTTATCAAATTAATTTCTATAGTAGACTTCACAACGGAAGTACATGTCAAATACACAAAAACAAAGTTACAGGTCAAATACACAACGAAAGTCACCAATTCTGTCCAAAAGTCATGCGGACAGCAGAATTTTTGAGTTGCTGCAGCAAAAACAGAAAAATTCTACAAATTTTTGACTTGCTGCAGCAAAATATAATTGC